GGAGGAGGAGGCCGGAGGAGGAGGGAGGAAGAGGGGGAGGAAGAAGAGGAGGGCGGAGGGCGGAGGGAGGAGGGGGAGGAGGAGGAGGAGGAGGAGGAGGAGGAGGAGGAGGATCAGGAGGAGGAGGAGGAGGAGGAGGAGGAGGAGGAAGTGGAGGAGGAGGAGGAGGCGGATGAGAAGGAGGAAAAGGAGGACCAGTGTAAACCCAAGAGCCATCAACGATGTTGGAGTAAACCCTCCCTCCAAGCTCTCTCTTCATAGGCTTCATTGGAAGACACCCGTCTGAAGACCCTGAGTCATTCCAAAATATTGTTTTGGGGAGTCCAACGCCACGGATCAACCTGACTGTTGCGTCTTGACAATCCTGAATTGTACCAGAGAGCCATTCCGAGGACTTCAGCAGAGGCTTCAGAGTCATACATCGTGAGGAAATCTCAGGCAACACGCCCGGCCCGCCCTAAAAACTGGCCTCGGGGTACGACAGGGAGAAGTTACTTATTAGGAAAAGGAATGGAGAAGGAGGAGGAGGATTTTTTTCCAGTGCGCCGCTGCCAGCCAACCTCCAGAGTGCAGAAGGAGGAGGAGGAGGAGGAGGAGGAGGAGGAGGAGAAGGAGGAGGAGGAGGAGGGAAGGAAGGAGGGGGGAGCAGAAGCACCAGGAGGGGGAGGAGAAGGAGGAGGAGGAGGAGGAGGAGGAGGAGCGGAGGAGGAGGAGGAGGAGGAGGAGGAGGGGAGGCGGAGGAGGGGGAGAAGGAGGAGGAGGACGAGGAGGAGGAGGAGGAAGGAGGAGGAGGAGGGAGGAGGAGGAGGAGGAGGAGGAGGGAGGAGGGAGGAGGAGGAGGAGGAGGAGGAGGAGGAGGAGGAGGGGGGGGAGGAGGAGGAGGAGGCCGCCCCCCTCCCCTCGTTTCCAGCGCGCTCCCGCGCTGGACCCCGCCCCTTAGCCGCGGCGAGCGCGGTGAAAGCACGGGGGGCCGCGTGCAGGGGGCCGCGCGCCCGCGCCGGCGCGCCCGGCAGCGCGGTAGGGGTCGCTCCAGAGGCGCGCCGCGGCGGTGCGGCCACCGGGCAGAAGGAAAAGACGGGGCCGGTGGGGGGGGGGGTCGAAGACTCGGGGGTGGACAGAACCCCCACCCTGAGACGTTGATTAGTGAATTGTCCGTTCTCGGTTCTCGAAAGGGCGCCGCGGCCGTCAGTTTCTCGTTTTCCAGGCTTGCGCCCGCCAGGTTTGGGCCCGAGGTCGTTTTCACTAAACCACGTTTTGCTAAAGGGGTTTCCTGTCCATCCCCGAAAGACGGGGCTGGTGGTGGGGGTGGGTCGAAGACGCAAAAACTGCATAAGCCTACGTAAACTTGTGGCGTTCCGCGCGGATTTCTTGGATCCGCGCTGGGCCCTCCTGGCGGCGCCGCCGCTGGCGCGCTCCGCGCGCCAGGGGTCCGGCGCAAATCCAAGGAATCCGCGCGGAGCGCCACAAGTGTATGTTTATGTCGATTCTTGCTTTTTAATATTTCCTTAAATTTTGTCGGTTTTTGTCGATTTTTGTCTTTAATGTTATGTTTATGTCGATTTTTGTCTTTGGTCGGTGTGGGGGGGGGGGAGGGGCGGCGCCAGAGCGGAGCGCCCTGGCCACATGTCAGCATGGGTGGCTTGGGGCTCAAGAGACGGGGGTCAATTTATCAGGAGGAAAAAAACACACAGACACAATTAATCGTCGATTCCGAAAAATATGGGAAAATATGGGAATTGGGCGGGAAGACAAAAACCCAGAAAATATATGAAAATATGGGGAATCTTTTTATTTGTGTGTATTTATTTGTGTGTCCCAGGGCCCCTTCAATTTAGACAGAGGTGAGTCCGAGCGCCGAGTCTTGCATGACCCTGGAGGGCCAGGGCTGCACTGACCCGGGCTTGGGCGCGGGATCCCGCAGGATCCTGCAAGATCCTGCAGGATCTTGCAAAGCCTGCGACTTCACGTGAGAGCGACCCTTCGCAGGAGTTGCCTCTGGTGCGGGCCCACTGGGCACCCCCCCGATCGCCGAATGCGATGCGATGGCAGCGGCTTGCGCGCTTGAGCTTGGCCCCCTCGAAGCTCACTCTTGCCCAGGGTCGCTCTGGCGTGCAGCCGAGGGTGGCGGCCAGCAGGGCCGGACCTCTTCACACTGGCGCCCTGCGCCCTGCAGCCCCCGCGCGACAGGCCAGGGCGCGCCCTCGCTCTGCCCTCCGAGGGGGCCTCGACCGGCGGTGGGCTTCCCGTCCGCCCGTGCTCCTGCCCCGTGCTCGCGGCGCAGGCCAGCATCAGGGCGCTGTCTTTCTTCTTCGTCGTGGTCGGCCCATGCACGGGGGCCCTCGCCGGGCCCCGGGGCTGTCAGGCACGGCCCCGGGCCCCAGGACGAAGACCAGGTCTTGGGGAAGGGGTCGGAGCTGCCAGGGACCGTGTATATTCATAAGTCAGGGCATCGCATGCCCAT